TTTTTTTTTTAATAGGAATACGACTTTCTTCCATTGAAATACACAAGAATATATAATTTTGGAGCTGCTGTTTTCCGTACAACTAAAGGTTTTCATGGGCGGAAAACATGAGGGATATTTACATACCATTGAGTAACAAATAACTCTTTATGTCCATTGAGTAACATACATTCGCATTCAAATCATCTGTACTGACTCGAACGTGTTTTTTGTTTTTTTTTAATCACATAAGATTGAAAATTTCTCATTGGTGCTTTCACTCTCATCTTTATACGCTAAAACCAGTGTCCTTTGGTGTTACTACTATTCAAATTTGGCACTGTGTAACTTGATGCACCAATTATATAGAAAAAAGCAGCTCTGAAGTTTACCAACATATAAAACATCCTTCTGTGTTCGATAGATGAAAGAATGTCATGGGTTTAGAATGATGGTTATAAGTAAATGACAATTTATGAATATTAATTTCTTTTTTTGGGTGAATTATTCTTCCTGTGTGTACCCCACATGCTCCGCAAACCTCTGTATTGGTCATCAGCTAAAATAACCCCTCAAGAACATGACCCTTGGTTTATGAACAAGGCATCTCTTTTTGCACCATGTCTAATCAGTATGCACTAACACATGGTTCCTCCCTCCAGTTGGTGCTTTCACAATGTGAGCCATTTGCGCACTGGCCCACAGTAAGCACCTGTCACACCAGCTTCAATATCAGCAGCATTTCACCTGCAGTTGAAATAGTTCACTGATCCATGAAGGAAAGGAAAAAGACACTGATGACCTTTACACTGATCACTGGGGAATAGATTGAGACCTCCGTTTATCTACAATATCAATAATGTAATCCGCCCCCTCGTCCTTACATCATGAGCACTCTCTCATATTGAAGATGGGACATTTGATTTGCATAGAGTTTTGAAGGACATGCATGTACGAGAGTATCTGAACATCTTGAACAAAAAAATCAGTCTGGTGCCTAACGTGGGTCATACATGTTAGCCAGTTTTTTAAACCGTGGTCCCCAGTCATTGAGGTAGTCATAGTCCTGGTCACCGTCTGAGCCCATGGAAGCAATAGAACTAAGGCTGCCTGCTACCGACCCATCGCCTTCATAGTCATAGATCAGAGCTGTATCGTATGGTGGGACATTAGGGTCATTGTCAGCAGCGTCCAGCCCCTATTGAGGTGAAGCAAAAAAAAGTGCATTTGATTTTCATTGGTAATTACATAGCAAAGTCAGAGAATGTGTCTACATTCATCTTAATTACATTTTAAGGGTCATCTAAAGTTTTATATTTGCCTCTGATTCAATTCTTTTACTATGTAGTTTTTATTTTATAGAATTTTGTTTTCTTGATTTAGCTATTAAATTTGTAATTTCCAAACTTGGAGTAAAAATAGCACTTAGCACCATGAAGAATAGTAATGATGTATAACTAATATTTTCCTTTTTACTAACCTTTTCAAAGTAAATGCTAAGGAAATTTCCTAATATTACCCACAAATATTCCAGAATGAATCTTAATTCTTATAAAGAAACCGCACTTACAACATTGATGAAATCTTCTATGTCTGTTGGGTCTCCGGGGGGTTTGCGTGGATATGTAGGAGAAGGCAGGTTATGGGGTGCATCTTTCCTTAGAGGTTGCTTTCCTCTGGGCAGGCTGCAGTCTTGTGGGGAAAATGAGGCTGGGGCAGGGACCATGTCACTTGGGTTCCTCAGAAAATCAATATTAAATGCATCCTATAGGAGAGAAACTAGGTATTTCAGGAAGTTTAACATTTCACCTCAAAGCAGAATAAAATCCAACAAACAC